TCGGCCCGAAGGCGGGACCGAGGAGCTCGCCGGCGACCAGGCACGAAGCGAGGCCTGGCAGGCGGGGCTCCGGGGGCAGGCGTTGCCTCTGGGCTGCTTCGCCCGGCGTGGGCAGCGAGGGCATCGCGGAGAACACACGGCGCGCATTGGATGTAGAAACATCCCGAGCGTTTTATCTAAAAGGGATCCAACGGAGCCCCTGGCATGTTGAACTCGCGGGGAAAAAAACTGCACTGCGAGGAAAGGTGGGAAGCTGCGGGACAAGGAGAGGATCTCGCCTGAGGTGGGTTGACTCAAGCAAGGAGCCCACGGGCTTGACTCTGAGCAGGAGTGGTCGTGCGACGACCCTCCGGAGGTCACTAAGACATAGGGGGTCGCCTTAAGTCACTAACTACGTGACCGCCCACCGGCGAGAAAGGAGACACGAAGTCTGCCTGCCCTGCACACTTCTTTGCTCTCCTCTAGAGGAAGCAGGCGATCGGTATGACCATTAGCACTGCTAATGATCGTTTCGTAGGGAAAACTAGTTGGAATGAAGGGGGAAATGGGTCCTTTCGGGAAAACGTAGGAGTCAGACAGGCTTCATAGGAATGGTGATAGGGAATTCTTTTTTATCACCAGCGGGCTACAGTTTTTCCAGATCTCGATCTCATCTTTGACAGATCAGGAACCACCTTTCACATACACTTCCACTTCTCCCATCTTTTGGTTAGGGGGGTCATACCAAACCAACACACCAATTAATGTAAGGAAGTTCTGCCAGTAGCAGTAGGGGATTTCTCTCCATTGTGACTTCTGTGAGGTTATTCAAGTAGCCACAATGGCCATCACTCTCCGTGTCCCATTGCAAATTCCTGACTGCATTGTCTTTCCCTACAAATGCTCATGTGGTTCCGAAGTGGATGCTATGCTCTTGTACTTTTTTGCTTTACCTCAGAATTACGAAGCAAAGAAGTCTCTTTCAATTACAATGCTTAACTATAAGGCTTTCAGCTAAAGGGGTTTACAGAAAGGCTGCTATAAGTACATGTCCGGTGTGGTTAGATGCATTAAAGGGGGAGGCATAACAGGAAGGCTGGAATTCATAGGTCCCCAAATGTTGACACCGCATTTCTAGACAGATGGCATCTTGCCAAAGACAGCAGTAACATACTTAACACCATCAACCACTAAATATTCCCTCACCAAGGGCAAAGCACAGCTTGGTTTTTAAATGCAGCTCACTTGAATTGGGGTTTTCCTCATAGCACTCTCACTCACATTAAATAATCAAATCACAGTTTTATTATATAAAAAAGTTTTGCTTCAGAATTCCTCCTTAGCTTCAGCTTGAGGATGAAGCTCACCCTGTAATTCTGTGACTTAGTTCTGCAATATGTGAAATCGTTCCAGGTAGATTTCAGAATGATCTACACGTTTTTCCTTATTAGTCAACTGAGTATATTTTGTGTGTATGAGAAAGTTGTGGATACAAATCAAACAAATAGTTTGTGTGGAATTGTTGCTTTTTCAGAGGAGCATACAACCACCAGGTTGAATCTTAGCTTGCCTCAGTTCTACGGAATGGCCTGTAGCCGCCTCAAACTGCAATTTTTGCATGCTGCAGAACCAAACTTAAGTATCCTTCAGATTGCCCTCCACACAAAGTATCTCCAAAAAAGTTACTTCAAGAAATTCAATTTCTGCAAATTGCTGGAGAAACAAAACCTGGTTTTAACAGCCCACTTTATTGGCTGAAACCCAGTAATGTCACAACTAAATCAGTGAGAATTTGGTGAATGAACTCAAATTCTATTAATTTCATAGACCTACTCTACTTACTACTGGATTTCATCCACGGACTCATCCATATGTATATTGTTTATGATCATCATGTGCCATCAAGGTTTTCTAGATAGATGCTCAGAAGTGGTTTACCCTTCCCTTCTTCTGGGGACACCCTGGGACCGTGCAGCTTACCCAAAGCCACACAGGCTGGCTCTGCTCATGGGATGCATATTGGGGAACTGAATTCCCAACCTCTAGCTCTGCACCCAGATACCTAAACCACTGAGTTATCCATCCAGCTGTATTGTTATTGGCCATCCTAAATTTTAATGGACAGAACTTTTACACTTTATGAGCCTTCAAGTACTAGGGCCAGTTTTGTTATGGCATCACAACCATAAGCCAACTTATTTCTTTGTTATGTCACAGGGAAACACCCTTTGTTATATAATAGCACCCAACTGGCCTGATGAAAATAAGAACACATCTGTTTGTTTTTGTGGACCTATAAGCAAAACCTCGCATATGTTTTTCAGCTTTAAAGTCTGTAGTTGCAGACTTTAAAATCCTTAGTCCTATATTATGTATGTTTTTTATGAACTTTCATTCTATAAAGTCTGAGTGGGTTCCAATTATAAGACTGATCAATTCCACAGATAACTGCTCAAGTATTCCAATCTCAGGACCTACAAAAAGCATGACAGGCTAATGTGACAGGCTAATCATTCATTCTCTTGCTCTGACATGCCTCACAGGGTTGTTCCTGTGAGAATAAAATAGTGTATATTCAGCCTTTTTATGAGGAACACTCATAAAATCACGAATAGGGTTTTTAATACTTCTTTCTGGTAAGACTGCAGTAAACTGAGTCACACATATATACCAATTTAATGTCAATGTACCTGTTGAAAATTTGTCCCTTCCAAATTATCGTTAATTGTACTGGATTTTTGAGCTCACTAACAGGTAACCAAGCTAATAAACATTTTCCACTAAATGTCCATCTGTGTATCTAGTACTACCAGCAAGAAGGCATTATGCAGCTATTTTGTTTCACCTCTGTAATGCAGAAATAGTTGCTCAAAATCTCAGAAGCAGCAGTGGGAAAGCATCAGCAGCACTACAAATGAAATACTATGTTGTCTAGGCCTTCCACAGAATTTCCCAAACAAGGCAGGACAACTGCAGATTAAAAGACATGTTTGAAAGTACCCTACAATTACAATTCTCATCATCTCTGCCCATACTGGCTAGGATTGATGATAGCTGGAAGTCCAGCATTATTCAGAACTCCAGATTCCATATCCCAGGATAATGTTCAACAAGAATAGACAAAAAGGCAGGAATACAGATTGACACAGTACCATTCCTAATATATTTTACTATGCAGTAGTAAACAAATAGTTCATTTGTCTGCATCAGCATGCACACACTGTGTGTCATCAATAAATTCTATTTATTGGTTCCCTGAATTGATTTCTTTTAAAAAAAAAAACTGCAAGTAAAAAGCACTTGCAACATCTGCTGCAAAATAAAGCACTGAGAAGTATTGCAAGACTGATCTAAAATATGCAGTATTAACCCTAGTGTCATGCTTGGTTATAACACAACACAACTTCTATTGTGAAGTGTTCTCCCTTCCCCATAACTAATAAATATTTAAGGAATCAGGAAGTCAACAGTAGCCTCCCTTATAATGGAAAGCCAAAGTCACCTGATGGTCATTCATCCAAATCTTGCTTTTTACTGTTTCGTGTCATAGATTCTTTTTTAAAAAAAGAATACTTCCCCCACCAACAAATAGGGAGACAAACCATCAGAACAGACCCTGTTCCTAGGTACTGTAGCCAGGAAGCACATTTTGCTAGGTTTGTTATGCAAACTGGTTCACCCACTTGTAGAAGCAGCAGAGGTACTTCTGGGGGCAGGAGGAGGGAACAATCCAGAGAAACTCAAATGTACCAAGGTCTCCTAGAATCTTTTTAGCAGTGGTCCTATCATGCCACACACATAAATCAGCTTCCCTGGTAGAAAGGCACAAAGACAGCTTTTTGCAGCTCCGTCAGCTGGCAGTTTTGATTTTTTTCTTTGGTGTCTCATGAGAATTCTCTGCATGTTCCAGTTTCGTTTTGGCTAATCCCTTGTTATCAAGAACAGCCAGGGCCTCAGAAGCTTTTATTGCCTCTTTCAGAAGACGCAGCTCCCGTTTCTCCCTCCGTTCTTCCATCTCTCCAATTTCATCTGCAAACAAGGCTTTCAAGGGTTGGAGCAGTTTTGGAATCACATCAAAATCCTGAAAACGCACCTAAGGACAAAAAAAAAAGATTAAAGTTGTGGGTACAAATCAACAACTTGGCAGCACCTCCAATCACATACTACCTACACACTTTCACAAAAAAGATGTGCTCACAGCATGTGCCACAACAGTCCTCTGGGTGCTTGACAAACACAGAGGTGCCTTCTGCCCTCTAGAATGCCCCTTGATCTGTTTACAGAACATCATGTCCTGCTGCTGGACTACTGTTGCAACCAAATCACCATTGATATATTTACATTGACCAGCAAGGACCATCCTTCCCAAAACCTGAAGCATCCTTCTCCAGGCCTGGGGTCTGATGACCTATCCATAAATTTTGAGCAAAAATGCAATTTGCCAGTCTTTGCATTCCCAATGGCATTTCCCTGAGAGAAAAAACCCCCAGGCATACATACATACGTGCATGCGTGTGCGCGCAGAGGGCCACCATATTTCAAAATTCCACTTCCAGCCAAGGAGGTGAGCCAGCAAATGTATATGATCTGGTGCTGCTGCCCAGATGTGCTCTGCATTCCTTCAGCTTCAACACTAAGCCGCTGCTGAAAACAACTCCCCCCACCACACACACAACACCTTCTGCAGGACAGGAAGGTGAGGATTTTAGCCAGTCCTCAGCAAAAGGATTCCTGGTTCCAAAACTGAGCAGTGCTAAATGTGCCCCTCAGCCTCTTTTCCAATAAGGAAAGTGACTTAGAGAGAGTCCAAGTGGTAAAGATATATTTCAGAGTGCCACTGTTAGAGGCGGTTGCTCTGTGCACCTTTGGGCAACCATATCCAGTGCCTACAGCACTCCCCTGGCTACCCTTTTCCTGAGGCAAGGACAGGGTAAAAGGGGGGGGGCGCAGAGGGGAAGCATTCTTGGGTGGAGCTGCTCTGATTTGCAGCAGATGCCCCAGAAGTAGCAGGCAATACTTCAGCACATCTTCTCTTTCCTAACAGGAAAGCCAAGAGGCAGCCTGGACCACTGACCACAGCATATACAAATTGCAGTATGTAAGTTGGGGGACAAGCGGGCAGGGGAGCTGCTTGCCAGATTGCCAAAGAGAGCTCCACCTCTGACACTGTAAGCTCTTTGGAGAGGTTTTGTTGGAGATGGAGGGAGGGGCTGCCGTCCCCAAAAAATCCAAAATCCCATTGGACAGATGGGGAACTGATGCTCGGCTGGGATATGCTAGATGTGGGTTTCATGGGGAAGGTGCTGTGCTCCAAAGGGAAGTTGGAGGTGGCATTTTTCTTGACCCCTTCACTTCTTCTCCGGCATCCCCAACTGCCAGGCTGCCATCTCACTCCCCTACCTTGTTGAACAAGAGCTTGGCTTAAAGACTGTGAGGGAATTGCTGTGCTTGAAGGGCTTGCTCCGCATCCAGGAACAGATGACAAGGTGGAGGACGCTTTTGCCACAAGCCGGATTGTTAAACTCACCCTCATGTGATCAAATGCAATTCCAACCTTCTCACTGAAGTCATCGCTGAAAAGTGGTATTTTGGCATAGCGCTGGCTGAAGTGGTTGAGCATGATGAACTCTGCATTCATGTCCATTCCAACTTTTATTGCCTGGGAGGTAGTGCTACAAAAGGGAACAAAAGGAAAGCACAGGATCTACACAGTGAAAAATGGAAGGCCTCCCTCGGACATCATCACAATAGCTACCCTTCAGAGTAGAAAGAAGGGACAGGAAAGCACATAAAATGATAGGGGCAAGGTTATCCTTTGAGTCATGGAGTTTAAGCATTACCAGCTGCTATTAACTACTGCCATCTTAATTAGCAGCAACAAGCAAGCAAAGCCTCTCTTGTCAACTTGTCAAAAATGTGTTTGATCCTCAGGGGCCCAGACCTCCTGCTTTGACTCCACCAGAGTTTTGTCCTAGGTTAAGATAGGCTGTAACTTTTCACTGCATGTATTTTAGTGCATGACAGAATGCTTAACATTGTACAGTAAAACAAATAATTTAACAGTTAGCTTTTTTGCTTTTAAGGTTAAAAAAAATAACTGTACCACTCAAAACAGACTTCAGAGACGTGCCTCCAGCCTGAATGCTTAACATTGTAAAACAAAAAATTTAACAGTCAGCTTTTTTGCTTTTAAGGTTAAAAAAAAATAACTCTACCACACTAAACAGACTTCAGAGACGTGCCTCCAGCCTAATCAAAGTGTGAACCACACTGCAACCAAATGCAGAAAGAGCCAATAGATATCAGCACCAAGCTTACACAACTACTAGTGGAACACAAAACATCTTTAGACTGGGGTGCACAAAGTGCATTCTCCTGCATCTTCATCTTCAAATTAAAAAATACAAATTGCTCAGAAGTCATGTTTTGCCCTCTAGTGGGTGATAGATGCAATTCAGTCAATGGGTGAAGCCTAGCAGCATCTTTAGGCCCCCTCACATCTCCTCCAAGCTGTAATTAAAAAATAAATAAAATTTAAAAAAATGAACAGGCTACTAGAGAGAATGCTGTTACCAAAAAAGGCTTTTTAATAGAGAAATATTTGGGGAACTGGGCAGGGACATCCAAGAGCAGGTGTACAGAGATCTTGTGTCACTAGACACTGCCCATTTTTGTTCTAGATATATATAGTTTTAAGGGTCAGTTCTGCCTTTTTGTTCCCTTTACATCAATTTCCTCTAAGGATGCCAACATGTCTCCCATTGTTTTACCTATGTGTCTTCTCTATAGCTTCTTCTTTCAAATCATCCTCCAGTGTAGCTTCATGGATTAACAAAGTAGCATTTTTTCCTGTGAAAATTAATATTTGTCACCTTTTAAGAAGAGAGTAGCAATGAATATCCTGAGCCCATCATTAAAAATAAGATGATATATGCACACTTAGCTTTCCACACAACATTCTCTCAACATGGAGTCAAAGTAGGAAGTATACAGAACGTACCCATTTCAACTAAAGCCGGACAGGGCATTGTGTCACCAGAATAGACTATTTTCCATCCAGATTTGTGAACTATAGAGCAGCCAAAGGCATTCCTACAGTGTCGGACATCACATGTCTGAAACTGAATACCATAGTATTTTTAGTAATCCGTATTTCATTCACGGGTTCCTTCCAACTGCATACCATCCCACATCCAGCTCACCTGTGTTAAATCATATTTCTCCAAGAGCTGATGAATAAATTGTTTTGCTTTATGCTTGGAGACATCAGATGTTTCCTTTAATAACCAGGCAGGAATCAAACTGCAAGGGAAAAAACACTACAATTAACTTAAAACTGTACTTTCTATTTCTTCATTCGTACACCTTATTTCTGTCCTGTCTATCTCTCCCAAAAGGACCTAAAAGATACAGCAGAGCAATCTCAACATTAAAATACAGTTAAATATACCAATATTAAAATACGCTTATTAAACACATTTAAAAGTCAATGAAAAGCACCACGAAAACTCATTTCTCACAAGAATCAGTATCAAGATACAGCATAGCAATCTCAATATTAAAATACAGTCAGATATACCAATATTAAAATACACTTATTAAACACATTTAAAAGTCAATGAAAAGCACCACGAAAACTCATTTCTCACAAGAATCAGTATCAAGATACAGCATAGCAATCTCAATATTAAAATACAGTCAGATATACCAATATTAAAATACACTTATTAAACACATTTAAAAGTCAATAAAAAGCACCACGAAAGCTCATTTCTCACAAGAAGAATCAGTATCCAAAGGCTTGCTTGAAAAGGAAGGTTTTTGCCTACCAGCAGAACAGTGGAGAGGGGGCCACCTTCACCCCACTTGGGAGGGAGTACCCACCAGAAATGGGGAGTTTCATGTTCTTTGAATGCTAGGCAAGCAAAATAAGAACAGAAGCAGCAACCCCTGGCAGTGGTCATGAAGACACAATAGAATAATAACTTAAATCAGAATAGAATTTAAGAATAATTTAAATCGGGAAGGGGAATATTTGTTCTAGATGTTTTGGACTAACTCCCAGTCACTTATAACTGGCCATGCTGGAGACAGCTGATAACTCAAAGCATATCAAAGGTCAAAGATTCTGCATCCTATCCTAAGCACACTCTATGATACAAGTTCTCCTTCCCAAACAGCCATTATTAAAGTTGATTTCAAGTTTCATCAACGTTCCTACTTTTAAAGTATCTCAGACTTTAGCGCCAGTGTAGAGTGGCCCCTAACATTGTGCTCTCCAAATGTTTAGGACTGCTAACAATCGGCATTTGTAATCTTGTTTTCTTTAGCAGAATCTTCATTCCACCGTGAATGGATGCAACTGTAGAAATGGCATTTGTATTCTGTGCTTAGTCTCATAATAAAAGGCCTTTAAGCATTCTGCTAGCCTCTAGAGAATCTTAAGCAGTATCTGTTTCAAGTTTGAATTACGCAGCATTTTTAGATAGCAATCAAGGTTGGGCTATGATACCTAATTTTATCACCATGCATATAGTCATTCGTAAAGTCAAGATGACTGTCCATTGTGAAAGACTGGTTGGCACTTTTTAATGAGTATTTCCTATCAGTTGATTTCAAATCTCATTGTTCTCCAGAAAATGACACTTTCAACAGACACTTCTCATGTACTCTTACCTACAAGGCTTAGGTAATCTGAGGTGGGAGTGATGTACAGACCAGACTGAAATGCCATAACTTTGCAGTGTTTTCCTTTAGTATGTAGCACTCAACATTTGAGTGTACATGTCCTCTCATCAATTGAACTCTTAAATTTCATATACTGAGGAATGGGCAATGGATGGCCCTTCAGAAGTTGCTGAAGTACAACTCTCCATACATTTCAGTATGGCCTTTGCTCACTAGGTCTGATGCAAGTTGCATTCGCACAAGCCGTGTTTTCATTTTCCTGCTCAAAACTGGATGTGTCACATACTTATGCATCCCCTGAGCAGCGACAGCACTGTTTGAATCCTTCCATTCTGAGAAGACCACCAGATTACTTCCCACATGTACAAAGAGGAAAACCACTGAAGAAAACAGTGCAGGCTTTTTGTATGATAGCAGTCTTAACCCATTCGTACCCTTGGTGCCTAGGATAGCTTTAGTTTGGATCTTCATTACTATATAATGCATAGGCAACACAGAGTGCCAGTCATGGATGCTGTACTTCTGGGCAGGCTGAGGTTCCCATAGCTTACTGTGAACAATGACTGGTGTCCAGCAACATCTGGAGGGTAGCATTTTGCCCACTTCTGGCATAGTGAGTCCCCATGTCACTGCATAATACTCATGAAAGCAGCTAGAAGATTCCATTCCAAGGATATAATCCACCAATTCTCAGTGTTTGATACTTTCATGTCCCATCAGTCACTTCACCAATGAACCAGAATGCCACCATGATAGGAGCAGAATGCATACTTATTGGAGAACATGCTGCACTTCTACACACTTTGTAATAACATCGGTCATCCGTGGTGAGTTGAGAGGCAGGGGAAACATGATTAGGACAAATGTTGAGTGTCCAGAGCTACTGGTAGCATGTCCAAACGTCAGAAATGCTTAATTTCTGATAGTAAGAGAAAACAAGTCACATCTGCCAAAAGAGTTGGGAGGTGAGGGGATTCTTAGTAATTATTGTGACAACCCTGTGCATCATCTATGTGAATTCTGTATCGGTACTTCAGAACTGCTGGTGTAATGCATGATATAAAGATTAGTCTGGACATTAAATCTCTCCAGATTTAATGTCCAGACTAATCATCTTTACCTGGAAATCATACTTTCCAGGTAAAGATGATTCAGCATGAGACTTCAGAACTCATCTGTGTGATGAAGTGCTCTACAGCCAGGTAGCTCATCTATAAGTTGTATTTGTAAGCTACTTGAGATTTCAGTTCCTAGTAGTCCTAGACAGTGTGGCCAATGGTTTTTTCTTTGTTTGTTTTTGGTAGATGGATAGCTCTCAGGTCCAGAACCAGCTGGCTCTCCTGTTCTAGACAGAGTTGCGTTCTTTTCTAAAGAACCAAGCATAACTTGGGAGCAATGTACCCTCTAATTTTCAACCCCGCTGGGCATGGCTCTGCCTCTCTCTTGTGCGACTTCACCTCTGCATGCGCATGTGACTCCACTGCCCCACTCACATGGGGTTCCATTACGTCCAGAACCAAAGGGGCTGACAACTGTCACTGAATGGAGGAGGAAAGCTGTGCAGAGGGAGGCAGAGTCGCACACCTTAGAGGGAACCTTGCTCGAGAGTACTCGTGGATCCATTTCAATCACTGGAAACCTAGATGACCTCAGTTGCCAGGAGTACCCATTATCACCTGTGCCTGGTATATTAATTATACACATTCTTAGATAAGGATAGTCTACCCTTGTGATTGGTAAACTCACAACCAGACTAATGTAATGTGTTCTGGCTGGGATTCCCATTCAAGCTAGTTCAGAAACTACAGGTACAGGAAACAGCAGAAAGGGTACTCAATGGAACACCACGCTGTGTGTGTATCATACTTGTTGTCAAAAAACTGCACTGGCTGCCTACTAGCTATTACACTATATTCAGAATCTGACTGGTAATACACAAAGCCCTCACCAATGAGTGGTGTGCTGGTTCTTCTGAAACCAACAGTGTCATCTCACATCAGAGGTAAGCTTTCTCAGAAGTGGCACTCACCTTTTGAAAAATCACTTCTCTGGGATACCAGAGAAGTAGAAATAACATCTAGCTTCAAGCACCTGTGGAAAATTACCTGTGTATGCAGGTATTCCTTCACCACCGCTCTTGTTTCTTTTTCAGGCTATTTTTATATGCTTTTAATAATTCTTTTTATACAATATTATGTACCCCTTAAAATCTAAACTACTTGGAGATTTCCTAGAATCAAATCATTTCATGCTATTTCAAATAAAAAAATAAATACTGTGGACAAATGGGACAGCAACTGTATGTGACAGGTGCAGGTTACTTCAATATTTCACACTAAAGCAAGCCATTTGTGAGTAGCTACTCACTTGAAATGCTGCAGGATTTCTTGGCAATGATCACTGTATTGATTCAGCCATGCCATAAGGATAGTAGGAGCTATTAGCAGCACTGGGCTGTAAGGTTTACCAAGAGTTGCCTGAAGGGAAAAAAAGAGCAGAGGGTGAGAGATTTTGCATGGAGCGGCAAACTAGAATAATATAATCAGAAACATCCCTTACCCACCCTACCACTGGGTTTTAGCTTCAAAGTACTTACAAATGCACGATGTCTCTGCAACAAGATGTTCAACAAACCCTAGGAAACAGAAGTTTGGCTTACTACAAACAGATGGCCATTTTACACATTCTTTAAGTGCAGATATTGCACACTGGGGAGAAATAATCAACCTTATCCACAGAAGATGCCTTCATTCTCAAAGCAATAAAGAAAATGCAGCTTTGGCAATGCTAACCGCCAGGTAAATAAAGTGTTCTAAATTATTACAGTCCCTTGAGACAGGGATTTGCTTTCAACCACCATTTATCCTTCGGTAACTGTTGTCAACAAATTGGAATAGCTCTTTACCAACTTCATTACAGCCATTTCATAGTGGGTTTGCCACTGTGAAAAATTAGTTATGCAAACTGACTGAGCCAACCTTTTATACAATAAAAACTAAATACTTTCCTAAAGCTCTTAATACAGTATCTAATGGAAAAACAAACGCAACAGCTTCCAACATTATACAGTACTCACCGTATGATGATCGGCATGTATATGAGACACAAATATAGCATCAATGTTGCAGAGAATTTTGTCAATTTCATCTCCATAGTGGTGGCAAAGCTGGACAAACGTCCCTTCTCCACAGTCCAGAATCAAAGACTGGGTAGAGCTAGCAGGAAAATGAACATAAATTTATACTATATCTATTAATACCGCTATTTTGTAATGTCTGTCCACTGTCTGAATTGGAAAAGGGCTGCATGATATATCTTTTCTCAAGACACTGTTCAATGGGAGACATCAGCTCACGAGGCCTTTGCTGAACATCATGTAACCATCTGAAGAGGGCCCGATATGCAAGCCTAGGGAGGTTTTCTCCATTACTCCCCACAAAGTTGCAGGACGTTGTTCTGGAGAGATACCCTTAACCGAGGTTACCTACCTAACGTTTATCAGAGTAGAGCTCACATTCCTGATTTTCATTGGGACTGCAGAGCCGGTTCCTAAGAATACAACTTCTGGGTAGCAGTCTGCACTTCCTAAAAAGGTACCAAAAAGCAGTTAAATCATGGCAAACTCACATACTTAGCCTATTTCTCAAGGAGTTGGGAAGGGTGCCATATGTTCATGATGCTGGTTCTATTCTCCACCCTTGCACCTGATTAGACACAGTAACTCTTTAAAAGCTCCAGATGGATGAAAGAGCTAAAAGGAGCATGTAGGAAAAGCAAGCCATCTTTGGGGGCCAGGAGAGATAACAACTGCAGATGATGGCCACTCTACAGATCGTCTTAGGGGATATACACTTCAATCAACTCAACAAGTAAAGGAGTTAGAATCTGTGGGGGGGTTTGTTGTGTTTTGAGCTTTCCTCCAAAGGAAATGGAAACCTCTTCAACCGCTGTCTTTCAGTAGGTGTTAGTATATTCCACTTTATTTGTAAACCTTATATTTAGCCCTCCAAATCCATCAAAATTAAGGGGCAAATCCTGCAACACATAGCTCTTATTATAGACCTAAATGAAACTTATTCACCTGAAGATGGCTTGGCTGGTAAACTCTCTTTGCACTTCTGGACACAATCTTGGAAGTCAGGAAGCTCCAAGGCTTCAGCTACAAATTCAGAGGAATTATATGCAGTAACAGCCTCCCTGAAAGAACAAAACCAGAAATCCAGGCAGTGAGGAGAATAATCAACAGTGATCTTCCTCATGTATTTTTGTAAGCATTCTGCTGCTCCTTCAAATACACCAAGAGCATTTATTTATTTATAAAGAGAAAGTACACCCTCTTTGAATGTTATGGCTTTACATATCAAAACATAATAAAAATCATCTGGTCCTTACAGGTCTGAAAATTAGGTAATCTCAGACAAAGAAGGTAAATATAACCTCAGATGAACAACAACGTATGACATATTACACTGTGCCATGTTTTATTTAACAAAAACAAAGACAAAATGGGAAAGCCATGTGTGAAAAACTAAGTACATCTTATGATTCAAAAGCTTGTAGAACCACCTTTAGTAGCAATCACTTACAGTAATCATTTTCGGTATGACTTTATCAATCTGTCACATTGTCGTGAAGGAATTCTGGCCCATTCATCTTCAGTTCACTGAGGTTTGCAGGTGTTTATTTCTGCACAGCTCTCTTAAAGTCCCACCACAGCAGTTCAATTGGGTTGAGGTCTGGACTCTAACTGGGCCATTGCAACATCTTGATTCTTTTTTCTTTCAGTCACTGATAATTTGCTGGTGTGCTTGGGATCATCGCCTTGTTGCATGACCCAATTTTGGCCAAGCTTTAGCTGTCAGACAGATGGCCTCACATTTTACTCTAGAATACTTTGGTATTCAAACAAGTTCATGGTCAACTCAATGACTGCAAAACAAGCTCAAATCATCAGCTCTCCACCACCATGCTTGACAGTTGGTATGAGGTGTTTGTGCTGACACACTGTGTTTCGTTTTTGCCAAATGTGGCACAGTGCATTATGGCCAAACATTGCCACTTTGGTCTCATCTGTCTGAATTACATTGTTCCAGAAGTCTTGTGGTTTGTCAGCCACTTGGGTCTCATCTGTCTGAATTACATTGTTCAGAAGTCTTGTGGTTTGTCCAGATGCAATTTGCCAAACCTAAGCCATGCTGCCATGATGTTTTTAGAGAGAAAAGGCTTTCTCCTGGCAACCTTTCCAAACAAACCTTACTTGGTTCAGTCTTTTTCTAACGGTACTGTCACGAACTTTAACATTTCGGATGCTAACTGAGACCTACAGAGTCTGAGAAGTAACTCGAGTTTTTGGAAGTTTCTCCGAGCATTGAACGGTCCGACCCTGGGGTGAATTTGCTTGGTCATCCATTCCTGGTAAGATGGCAACTGTCTTGAATGTTCTCCACTTGTGAATAATCTTCCTCACTGTAGAATGATGGACTTTAAATTCTTTAGAAATGGCCTTATAACCCTTTCCAGATTGATGGGTAGCAACAATTGCTTTTCTATGATCACCTATGATGGTTGCACACCTGAACACTCCAAACCAGCAAACTACTAAAACTTCAGCTTTTATAGAGGTGGTCACACTTGCTGATGATCAATTATTAAAGGGCATCTGGTTAACAGTACTTGGCTGCTACTTAGACACTTGTTTCCTATAGAAGCAGTAAGGGTGTACTTAGGTTTTCACACATGTCTTCTCCATTTGGGCTTTATTGTAAAATAAATCATGAAACAGTGTAATATGGCATATGTTGTTGTTCATCTGAAGTTGTATTTGCCTGCTAAAGGCCGGATGATTTTTGTTATGTCCTGATACATAAAACCACAGAATTCACAAAGGGTATATTCTCTTTTTCACATGACTGTATGCATTTCACTTGAGAATCTCAGGTACTTTCTACACATCACACAAGGAAGATCTTGGAAGAAAAGAGACTCTTTTAAACTACTCTCCTACCCACCCATACATACTTCAGTTCTCTCCCAACCTCCCTCTGTAGCTCAGTTTTCACAGAACCAGCCTACTGCATACCTTGCCATCTCTCACTTGTCCTGCCAAGAGTTTGAAAGCAATCCGTGGTCTGAGTTTATATACATTACTAAGAGCAAAAACAGATGCCAGATGGACATCTGTCATTATCTCTTCTACCCCTTCCACCCAATTCCTCTTGCAATGTCATGTTTATGGCACTGCAAATGCCACACAATTTTACAAACCAATCTCATCCCCTCATTGCTATCCAGTGATGTGCTCTGGGGTAAAATTATCACATTAATCTCAAGTTATATACTGTGTTAAACTAGTCTTATACCTTTAGTAGAATTTGACTTAAATGTTAAAACAAACCCCAGGTTATCAGGAAAAGGGCAAGAAGGCAGGGATCCTCAGCATCTCCATGCCTCCCACAATGTCTGCTCTGCCAGTATGAGCCAAGAAAGTGAAGAGAGGCACACCTCCAGCCTCTGTCTGACGAGGGCAAGATTAAGTGTCCACTTACCTCTGCCATTCAAGTTTGGGCCTCAGCTGGCATTTGAGGAGGCATTCACCTCGCGTCGCATGGATGTTAAACACAGCCTCTTCCTCCTAATGGGAAAACATAAAAATATGAGTGTGAGTGTGAGTGTGTGTGTGTGTGAGAGAGAGAGAGATCTTTTAAACAGGATAAAAGCTTCACCTTGCTTTGGTAGTTGGTGAGCAATGGAAAGATCTCAGGGTGGATGAGGTTGAGCTGGGTTTGAATTTTGTAGCTACGGAGATTGTGCACTGTGCGGCAATTCTCATTCAGAATCAAGTGCTGAGTGTCTGGTCCAAACCTGGTAGGACAAAAGAAACCAAGCATACCTTATTGCACACTAAAACTGCAAGTTAGGCATGCCAAACGTGAGGGATGGAATTCTGTCAAACTAGACTTGCTCTTTCTTAGACATATTTCTCAAGGTGGTGGTGTTATTTGGCACAACCACGGATCATGTTGTTTATAATGCACTTGCTTCCCACAGGTCTGCTTTTTACCATGCTCCCGGTTTTAACGCACTTTTCCACTGACTCTATCCAAGAACAATTGATCTGTCAATCAGGGTACTAGTATAGGGTTTGTTTAGCTTTCCAGTCTAGCTCAAAAGCTGGGCAAAGAAAGGCAAGAGTTGTTTTACTCACTTGTATAAAATGAATGTGGCCAATCAGACTAGCAAAAAAAGGAGCAAATTGGGCAAAAAAGTAATAAAGGACACAATAGCCTCTACATGCTAGGAACAGTTAAGAATAATTCACCAAATTTTATAGCCAAATAGATAAGTGCCATTAGCTGAAACTGGAAAAGTAAAGAGCTAGTCAAGTGTAGTGAAATAGTGAAAACTCTGGGAAACCCCATGTTTCACAGGCGTTGAAGGCAACTTACTTCTATTTCTCCCCAGCCTACAATTCCTTACGGTGCAACAACATTGACCTAACCTGCATGTATTTTTAAGTATTACTGAGAATGTATGGAAAGCACTTTAAAACACACACAGAGAGACAAAATACAAACTAAGTTGCATCATTGCCAACAGTATACAATTATTTTGTATTTGCGAAGGCTTTCAATGGCCGGGATCTAATGGTTGTTGTGGGTTTTTCGGGCTCTTCGGCCATTTCTGAACGTTGTTCATCTCTGAAGATGCTGGCCACAGAGACTGATGAAACGTTAGGAAGAACCTTCAGAACACGGTCAAAGAGCCCGAAAAACCCACAACAACCAATACAATTATTACCTAACACAGTGGTTCTTAATGTGGGTGATAATGCCAAATTAAAATGCCGGTGTCGTGCTGTCATAAAGTGGCAATACTAAAGATGGACCATTTGCATTGGATCGAAAGATCCAAAACAAGAGGCTCTCATGCAATTCATGTTTTTAGTGATTACCAAGAGTGCCTTAACAAAAATGACTTTACAAAAAAAAGGGTACACAAACATTTTAAGTTCTCTTTCGTGTTCTTGTTTTGTGTAACCTTCCAGTGCCCCCTCACCCTCTGTGCATCAAATGGCCTGACTTTTATCTTCAACAAATAGTGATGTGGGAGCTGTCAGCAACCAAGTAGAACACCCAAGGGAGGGAGAGCAGGAATTTTGAATCTGTAAAACAATTTTTAAGCCAGCAAGGAGTGTTCTTTGCTTCAGTTGTTCCTTGCTCAATTACTTAGTGCTGAGCTCCTGGTGCCCTCCGTCTTGGACTGATATCTGTCTGCTGTGTTTTTATCTTGGATCCTTTCCTGCTTTTTGCTTAGAGAGCCAGGAGGTGGACTTTGTTACTTTGCCAGGGTGTCACTGAGCAGTGCAAGTGGTGGTTGTTATTGGCTGGACACAGCTTGGGGCATTTCTCTCTTGTTCTTGGTATTATGTTGTTGGTGGCTGCTTTGGTAAGTGGATGTCTCTCTGTACCAGACAGCTGATGACCAGCTGGCACATAAACTGGAATTGGCATAATTTAATGATGATTTCTTTTTCTAAACCTTTGTTGATCAGGAGGGGCATAAGAAAGAGGAATATAATGCAAACTAGTGCCTGCAGAGATCTGGTGATTTTTTCTTTCTTGTATAATGTTGCCTGCTTTTGGAGTAGACTGATTCCTTGCAACCTCATCTCTGCTTTTTTGCAGTTGTTTTCAAGGGCTCTTCAAGGCTTTTGAAGTAGCAGAAAACACGAATGGGAAACTCAAAAGAGGTTTTCTCTTTTATCTAAAATGGATGGATCATCACACCCAAAAATATAAAAATAAAAAAGCACTCTCCAAAGAACCCGAAATGAAAGAAATACAAAGATTTTTGCTGTGCACATTCCTTATCAGCACAACTGAAGTTCGGTATATGCTTTTAACCCAATCCCATGCGTGATGGCTAAGAGGGGGATATGCTTCAGTTTAAGCTGCAGAGTATATAATTTCAGACAAACTACAAACCTCTCCATCCACTTCTTATACCGACTGTCCCGTAGAATAGATTCTGGAGTTATATGGATCACTAAAGCGACTGGCTTCTCCTGCGTCCCTTCTTGGCACCTGCAAAAAAGCATGCAGTGTAAGTCAGTGGCTCTCATACTGAAAGAGAGACCATCATGGAGCCATACAAGGCCCATAGGGCTGAGGAGATGAAGCTTCAGGAAGGGTTAGAAACTCAAAGCAAATGATGTATTCTTCCTGTATCCTCCCCAAATTTTAACTCTTAAGGCAGGCATGCCTATTCTTAATCATACCCTTTCAGCGTAACATTTTCACAGACGGCATCTACAAAATCTTCATGAGGACACTCCACTACAATGAAGATAGCACCTGGATCTGTGGGTGTACAAATCTCTTCAGCCAAGATCTGGAACAAGGCATGCATGTAAGTACATATGAACACTATGAACGTCCTATCAGAATCTGCTACAGTGTCTGCTCCAACAGGCTACATTCAAAGACTATATAGGTAGGCATTAATACTGGCCCACAAGAGGACATTTGTGAGCATGTTACAGATACTTAGCAGGAAGTAATCTATATTGAAGACAATGACATGCACCTGAGAGGAGCTGTATAGCAGGGATAGCCAATTCCCAGGGGTCCACAGGCTACACATACTGATCCACTGACCTTGGGAGGACTACAGTTGCTTCTGGAACCTCTGCTCTCCACAATAAGATTTTTTTTAACAAATGTTTTTTTTTCCAAACTGAAAAATCCCCTGTTCACTCTAGCGGTAACATTTTTTTAAAAAAAATTAAGGCTAGGGGCCTTCAAAATGTGGTACTAAGGGACTTTTTTTAGTTCCTTTTTCAAAAATTAAAACATTTTAGGTGTGTAAGAATACCGAGTGCCACATTTGATCCTCAGAGGGCTGCACGTTGCCAATCTCTGCTCTACTGTTAGTCTCACAAGTTGGCAAATGAAAGTGTATCTCTACTAAGGCCAAAACCACACGGCAAGAACAATTTTACCATCAGCAAAAGTACTTCATTTGTGATCTTGGACTCAGAAAGACAACCACTTCTATCCATAATGTCAAGAAATCCAGTATAAAGGCTCCTTTTGAACTAGTAAGGCTATTTCATATCTTCTCTCATGTTACAGGAACAAATCATTAACAACACTAGCTCAGCCTCAGATATTCCCACTGACTGAGACAGACCTCAGATAATTATTTCAGCCCAAATAATGGAGACAAATCCCAGCTAGTCACATCCATAAGAAAGTGACTGACAGCTATGAGCACAACCAAACCATCTTTGGTGAAAACACACCTCTCTGCCTTCAAACATGATGCTCTTTCCATCCTTCACAGCTTCTATTATGGGAGCTATTGCTGCAGTGCCTCTAGAAAGGAGTTGAAAAGAGTATACATCATCAAAGCTTAAAAAAATGAAATGCCCCACTTCTAAAATTTCTGTAGAAACCCTCCATACTTACACAGGCAAACCAAGATCCCTCGCTTTGAGCACCAAAAATTGTCCTTTCTTTGGATGAAGCTGCCAACAAACACCACACATTTAATCACCTTTCCACAACAATGCATCACATCAATGAAAAAAAACATGAACTGTTACATGGAAAAAGTCATAATGAGGGTACCCACATACAAACAGAGCCCACCATTAAAGACAACACACCAGATGTTCATTCGGGCTGCATCAGAAAAATAGGAAGGGCTCATTAGGAGAGGGAAAAAGACATAACTACAAAGTTGGGCACATCTAGGAACAATTAATCGTTTCAAAAAGAACCCAAATATTAGACCGTTTTTTAAGACAGCAAGGCTTAAATCCTCAGCATGTTAGTGAAAGTCGGTTTCAAATCCAATAACCACAAACAGTTCTGTGCAATATGTACTTTCAAGACTGTCAGTTCCCAGTGTTTCATGGTCAGAATTAAAGTAATTGTGAGAAATTTCCAATTAAGCAAACAGCTCTGGGCTATATATTTTAAATGTACAGCACAAGAATGTTTATTTTGAAGATTTATTATCTCAAGAATTCTTTGCCTCAAAAAGGGTGAAAACTGGGGAAAGCAAAATACTTGCTCACTCTGACAAGCAAAGAACCAGGTTACATTCAGCCACCAGCTCTGAACCATAAAAAGAGCAACATTAAATCATTCAGTATTATTCCCTTCATAGGAGGAGGATGCAAAATAGCAGGCACAGAGAATGTTTTCCAGGCCAATGGAAACAAAATACCAAGAGTAAGAAGAGTTAGATTTCCCCATTCCTGCACAATAGCCATCGAGGCCCCTTATTATTAAGGGGAACTCTTACCTTGCAGATAAATGCCACGACAAGAGATGGGTCTCTCTGACAAACTTGCATGCCACCAAGGAAGAAAAGAGACAGAGAATACAAGAAACCCTGTGTTATAATCAAGTGACTGGCAAAACCTCATTATCATACTTTAAAGATGTATATTCTGCCTAAATGACCAAAAAAGGACACTAAACCATCATCCTGAAGAGAGACCTTTGGAACATAGAGATGATTTACCCTACAAACACTGCAAACATAGTTTAATCTCCTCTAGGATATCTTAGGTTCATGCATTGCCCCTCCTTCTCACTTTTGTCCTTGTGCATTAAAAAAAAGGACTTGCCATTATAGGTGGTAGGATACGTTACTCTATGGCAATGATTTCTGTAGGCTGGTAATGACAGCCTTCACATTATTGTGATGCTCTGTATACAAGAAGCCCCAGGTACCCCTCCAGCTCCAATGCTGAAACTGCAGAAATCCAAGCACATATCTTAAACTAGTTTAACAGGAGTGTTACCAGACATTTCTCAACTATACACAAAGAATTTCCCCACAGTGAAGGTCAAAAACCGGAATGCAATGGAGTCTTGATAACCTCACACAATTTGCAAACTGACACAAGCAGCAAGACTCATTTCATCAATTTTAGGAGGGGATACTTTACCACTGTAGCTCTTTAAGGACTGCTGCTCCACAGAAGGAGATTTTCGTCCCGAGACATGCTTTTTCTCAACTCTATCCACAGGTGGTGGAGAGTTTGGATGCGGCCTTGGCTCATCTCTAGATATTTTGCCTGTTTCAGAATAAGTGAGAGTAAAGGTAGAAAACACAAACATGTGTCTAAAGGGGGGCATCCAGGACAGATAAATCAGTCCCCAGGGGTTTTCATTTTTCAGAGCCCTATACCCGGTGGAGCACTGCAACTTGGAGGCAAATATTTACAGAGAATATTTATGACAGAACATGAAAGCTAAGAACATTCCACAGAACAAAAGAGGCCAAGAAGCAGTCTCCCAAAGAGTCTTTTGTTAACTGTGGCCTCAGGAGCGATTCCACATTTGTTTCAGTCCTCCTGATTGAAAATATTTAGGGGATAACTAAATATATAGGGGATAACCTCTGTCAAATTAATTGATATCTACATTTTCTTTTTTGCACCACGTACCTACATTTCCTTTTCTTCATGCTTCAGTGAGTTGCTCTGAAAGCACTGATACTACCCAAAAATCAAGTGTTAATGGGGAGATACAGAATATTACAAAATGTTCCTGTCTATTGGTTTTATGGAAGTCTTACAAGACCTAATCATCGTGTCTATATACTTCAGTGCCCAAAAATGAACTTGGACAAGAACAACATGAAACAGAAATGTATCCAAACCTCTCCTCAATATATGATTGCTGTAACACATATGGTTTAGATAGAGTTTGATATGCTGTTGATAAAATATACATTGTTTTGATTATATTTGCATTGAAGTATTTTATACATTGCCACACTACACTGTTAATAACCTGTTGGTTATATCTAATCCTTGTATATATTTCTTGTAGACATTTTAGGTTTGTTCTATAACCATTATAGTCACCACTGTGTGTTTACAGCACCTCTTCTTTCTCTACATTTGTAGACTGTACACCTTCATAGGTGTACAGTCTAGGAAGATAAAGTTACAGAATGGATAGGAAAAAGCGCAAGTTTCCCACAAACTCACAGTCTGTACTTAGGTCAAATTAAACCCTACCTGCTTGTAGTAAAATCCAGAATTTCACTTTCAAAAACAGACATCATGGATCCATCACTGCATTTAGAATGCTATAAAACTAAATCTACTAAATTCCACCACCCGTTTTTTTTTCCTAGTAAAATTACAGTACCCTTAACTCACCTATTATGGGAACTTGATAGACAGACATAGTTTCATCCTGGTATTCGGAATTAGAATGAGGCTGCACAACTAGTAACAACAACAAAACCAATAAAAACAAAACAAAATCAGTAATCAGTCATTAGGGTGGCCTTTCTGTTGATACAGATTTTGTAAACTGGAATATAATCAAATAGTATTATGCGTTTGGATCAAGTTGCAAAGATAAATATGACTCAGAAGATAATGAACACAAACACAATTCTCATCCCTCAAGCCTTAAGTTATCTCTGTGAGGCATCTGGAAAGAGATGGTGCAAGTAGCAGCTAGGAAATAAGCTACCACCACATGAAACCAAAGGTCTAGAAAGACAATAATGACTGCAGTCACTGGGAAGGAATGCAGCGACTAACTGCACTGATGGTACATCTGAAGCCCATATAAAAATGCAGTGCCTACCTAATTCTATTCCTTTCAATGAACCAGAAAATCCTTTGATTGCCTCCAGGTAGTTTTGCTGAAATATACAGAACAAGGAGAGAGTCAAAACTGCAACATTTGAAGTATTTTCTACTAAGATACTAGCATAAGCCATTCTCATCTGTCCTCTATATAATAACACTTAAAGTCTGTATAATGCTTTTATACAATTATCCATCTGTAATCCTTACAATGGGACGTGGTGGCGCTGCGGGCTAAACCACAGAAGCCTGTGCTGCAGGGTCAGAAGACCAGCAGTCGAATCCACGCGATGGAGTGAGCTCCCGTCGCTTTGTCCCAGCTCCCGCCAACCTAGCGGTCCGAAAGCATGCAAATGCAAGTAGATAAATAGGGACCACCTCGGTGGGAAGGTAACAGCGTTCCATGTCTAAGTCACACTGGCCATGTGACCACGGAAGATTATCTTCGGACAAAACGCTGGCTCTATGGCTTGGAAACGGGGATGAGCACCGCCCCCTAGAGTCAAATACGACTGGACAAAAATTGTCAAGGGGAACCTTTACCTTTACCTTAATCCTTACAATACCCCATATGTTATCACTCTCCCTTATATTACAGATACAGGATACAGTCGAAGTAGGGACCAGGTTGCAGAAAGCCCCTGACAAATTCACTGCAGGAATTAGATTCAAACCAAGTTTGATAAACAAGTCAATCTTTTGACTCATATTCTACACTTCCTACATTTAGGATCATGTACTATATGCAAGTAAACACACAACTTTAAGAAGCGCATGACATGCTTAATAAAAGTGAGCAGGAAAGGCAACAAAAATCTGGAACAAAACCACAGCTCTAACTGTAATTGGTAGAAAGGAAACTGTAGCTCATGAAGGTGAAGAATATGCTTTGCATCTTTCTATCAATATTTTTCTGTCAATCGGTTAATTATTACAGAGATGTAGATATTTTGAGCACTTCCAGAAGAGTGCAATTTCCTGCTATGGATAAAAAGGATATTACATGTACCAGGAAATAGAACTGGCAGGTCTTGACTGGACATTAAGAGCTCACAAATAGAATAGCAACTGCATGAACCTAATCCAGAATGGCAGAGATAGTATTCACCAGGGTGCAGGATGTATAAAAATCAATGGTTTTTAAAAAATTAAAATTGATTTAAATCAAAATTTAAATATTAAAAAAAAATTAAAAAAAATAAATCCCCTCCTGGCATTCACTGACACTTTTAATACCATTTTTATTCCTGAATAAGTAATTATACAAATGATCACTGAGAAAGAAGCAACACTCACCAGTTGGGGGGGTCCAGAAACCACACATTTTGGAATTTGTATCTCCTTCAAAGAAAGAATCATTCCTAGAAAAGAGCAGAAATTTGTTTCAGCCAAAAATTGCAGAAAAGCATCAAAAATTAATTAAGAAGGATGCCTACTGCTACAGCCCAGAAAAAATAGAGTTATGAAACTTACTGTTTGTTAAGCTAACAAGACAAAACTACTGGCACCTTGGCAGTTATTTTATTTATTGGCTGAAATATCATTGCTTTTCATAATAAATCATGCTAGACTAGACTCACTGAATCAATGCAAGTTTAGTGAGTCAACTCTTCTGTCAGTTCTACTCGTTCAAATGGAACTACTCTAACAGAAGCTGGAGTGGATGATCCATAAGGTGCTTTCCAGCTCTGCAGTTTTAACATGATGACGATTATACAACTCATTATACTAGAGTAAGTCACATTTAGGGTAGGCCCATTTGAAGTAATACAACTTATTGAGCAGCTGACTCACCCAGTCCCGAATGATTTAATAAGCCTACTCTACTGCAATTTACTACACTAAGCAACAGGATTTTTGCCACTATTTGAAGAAGGGGAGATTTATATCCTATCTTCTCCTAAGTAGCACAATGCTGAACACCTCAACCACCACCATTTTATCCTAACAACCCTGGCAGGTAGCTTAGGCTTAGAGATAGCTCAGTTAGCACCAGATCAGCTTCACAGTCCATTGAGATTTGAACTTGGGTCCCCCGAGTTCTAGTTTGATATGCACTTGAGTTCATTTATCCCTGATGCTCGCAAGGTGATTTTAAGCAAATAATTAAATATTAACACAGTCTAGCCCTAGCTTACTATACTGATGGATTAAAATCATATGACTATGGTATAAATAGAAAGACATCCCATTCACTGTGTACTGGTCTACCTCTCAAAATATTACTTGCAAAGACATAAACAGTACTGAGTCTGGCACAGCAAAAACAAATGTATTTGCTGAATGGTGTTATATGTAATTTTCAGTACAAACTGTAATATCAGCTAGTACTGGAGAGCAAGAGACACATGCCACTACTGTGATTTCCAGATGCCATGGCAAGAGCAGGACATTTCTTTTCATAGCACCTGTGGCTATAGATGTTGCTGCTGATTCCACCTCAAGCAAACTATTATCAAAGCCAGCCAGAATGGTATGTACAGATCATAGCTAACCAGGGATGTGCCTGTCCAAGTAGGTGATAGAGCAACTACATGGCCAAGAAACACCAACTGATCTTAAAGAGGCAGAATCAACAAAAAGAGAAAAACTGGAGGAACTTGTTGCCCTTGAACAGTGGTTCTTAACCTTTGTTACTCAGGTGTTTTTGAACTGCAACTCCCAGAAACCTCAGCCAGCAGAGCTGATGGTGAAGGCTTCTGGGAGTTGCAGTCCAAAAACATCTGAGTAACAAAGGTTAAGAAACAGCGCCCTTGAATATCTAATGTAAGTAGTGTTTAAGAGGTCCAAAGGAATACTAAAAGAAACTCCATTTTCAACATGGTTCACAGACTCCTTCCAGTCACTGTTCTCCTGGTCAGTTGCTACAACTGCACCCAAGAACTCTTCCATATTACTGTATTAAGTTATACATGACATTAAGAGTGTTGGTGATCACCAGGGTCAAGTACTGCAATGCTTGCTCTGTGGGCCTTCCCTTGAGATTGACCCAAGAGACTACAGCAGGTCTAGACCACAGCAGACAGGCTGATGACAGGTTTGATCACATCTCCCTGGTCCTGGTTTGCCTGCACTGGCTCCCAGTTGGATCCCAAATCAAGTTCAAGGTTTTGATGTTAGCCTGTAAAGTACTTTACAATTTGGGATCTCATGGCCTATCAGAGCACCTTCCCCCAAGGTCATCTCACTGTACCATTAGATGCTCTCAGGCTATGCTCCTCCAGGAGGCTACACCAGAGGAGGCCAAAAAATCTTCTACACAGCATAGGGCCTTTTCAGCAGTGGCACCATCACTGCCAAACCATCTCTGGTGGAGCTACACCTGGTCCCCTCCCTTCTAGTTTTAAGAGGCTACCGAAAATGCTTCTCTTTCAGAGGCTTTTGAAAGCAGCCGCTTTTGAATTCATCTGCCCCTGAACTACCACTCTAACCCTTAACGCCATCTGTGCTCATACCATTTTTCTAGTGTTATTTTGTATTATGTTTAGGTTTTTTTTCTGGCTGTCCCAAACATTTACAGAATGTCTAACTGTGCAGGGAAGTTCATGTGTGTTATGTAAACCACCCAGAATAATGCTGTGCACTAACTGCGTATAGGTATACCAGAATAAATGAATGAATTTATTACATTTATGGCCTGAATTCCACTAAAATTCAGCAGTTGAGGCTTACAAACATGGTATTATAGAGGCAACCAACAAAACCAGCTTTAAATCCAAAAACCAATAACACAGGCCAAGTGACTCCTACCACATTCTGACACACCTGCTCATACCAAGCTCGCAAGAAAACAATGTACTTTTTAGAGGACAGCTTTCAAAACTTGCACACACACTACAAAACCAATCTAATTATGAACCACAGAATTCCATATAGCCTAATTACAATACAGTATCTGACCTGAACTCACCAGACAAGCCACCAACATTTGCCCAATTCATTCTGGTGATGAAGATATTGTCTAAGCGGCTGATTCTTAACCTGTGGTGAAAACAAGACTTGTTAAGCAATTTAACTTTAGTAAGGTCTTTTATCTGTCTAGTTTCTGCCCACCCACGATCTCAATCATCCTTACTTGTGCTCCTGCATAAGGCGCTGTACTCCTTCTCCACAATTAAAAAGATACCTAGAATGAAACACAACACTGTAAGTGACATCTACCTTATGATCGTTAGAATAACTTAGGGGCCAATGTCTCATATAATCTCAAAATAAAAAGAATGGCACTGAACTTGCAACTGGAGTTCAAATCCTAAGACAACACAAGGTTAAAACAAAAGTACGGGTGAGAGAGCAGCCAGAAACTGCCTAAAAGCAAACAGTTGTCGCTGCAGAGGATGTTGCAAAAAGGCTCTGCAAGCAGGTGTGCAAACCTGAAGCAAAATGGAACAGAATTCAGACCAGATTTTTTTTTGGGGGGGAGGGGGGGAGAGAGAGAAGGACAACATTAGGCTGTGCGTAGACTTCACTGTGCGTGTGAGTGGCGGGGCAGAAAACAGCGTCTCTCTCAACCGACACGTGAGCAGGGAAGGCCCGGGAGGGAAGGGAGCCGCACTCAGGAGCGCCCGCGGCTTGACCCCCGGCGAGCCCCGGCAGGAGGAGTCCCGCCGGCTCCGCGCCCTGGGAGCCCACTGACCGGTTGTACTCGGAGAAGACGTAGACGGCGGCTCCGGCATCTCGCGTCCCCGCCGCCACCACCTGGACGAAGACGGTGGCGGGGCCTCGGAGCTTCGAGGCCTCCAAGGACCCCTCCGGCCCCAAGCGCTTCTCCCGCGCCCGCAGGTGCTTCGGAGGGCGGTGGTTCCGCGCCTGCGCTGAGTCAGGTCTCCCGCCGGACATCGCTCTGGCGCTCGCCCGGAGAAGCCGCCCCAGCATCCAGGCGCCGGCCGAGAAGACGACGCAGGAGGAAACCCCTACCGTCGGCTTACACGCCCGCACGCGGGATGGGGGGAAGGAGGAGACAGGAGAATGCCCCTCCCACGTGACCGCTCAGAGACCAATCCTGTGGTTGCTTCTACGACCGTGCGTCTCTCTCTCTCTCTCTCGTCTAAGCCTTTCCTTTCAATAGCTGGGGAAAGGAAGCAGCTCCTGTCACGTGCTACCACCTAGCCAATAGTAGCCTAGTGTTCCCCCTTCACGTGACAAGATCTACTCTATTTAAATACATCCGAGGAAGAAGAAAATAAATCAGTTTCTAGTATAGCCCGTTTGGGTCTCTATCAGCTTTTAGCATCAGGGAATTCTTTGTAATATTTTAATTGCAATCTCCTTTCTTGAAAGTTGAACCACTTTGCCTCGTCTTCGGCATCTGAAGAGGGCTATACCGGATCCTCTCCTGTCTTCTTTTCACCAGGAGAAACCCGCCCCAACTCTTCCCCTGTTCTTGGCAGGGCTAGGTGTCTACGCAGAGATTAGCACGTCGGCTGTTTTCCAGGAGATAGTCGTGTCAGTCAGTTTTAGTATCAATCACAAAACAAAAATGAAAGAATTTTGACACTTTAGAAGCTAATATGGATTCATTTTCTTGTGAGCTTTTGTGCATTACAATCCACTTCCTCCAAAATAGCTTACGGTTTTGCTAGTCTTGGTTTCCTTCTGGACACGTTGCAACTTGATTATGTTCTTGAATAGTGGGGCCCTTAACTGAACTCAATTGTTGCAGGTGAGAATTAACCGAAGCAGACTGGACCAGTTAGACAGCTAGATCTAGGTAATCAACTTCTGTTCCTGCAGCCCAGAACTGTACTAGCTCCTTTTGCCATCCCATTATTTTCTGCCTAAATAATGAACTTTATATTGTTTTTCCCTTGTTGAAATTCATTTTAGGCTAGTTCTCCAATTTCTTAGGGTCACCTTGAATGCTGATTCTGTCTTCGGCAGCATCCCTCCTTTTTCTATGTCACCTGCATGTCTGAAGAGCAACCTCTCCAATTGATCATCTGTATCATTTATAAAAGTATTGAACACAGGGCTCACAACAGAACTCACTTGCTTCTCTCCAGGATGACAAGGAATAATTGGTAAACACTCTAGTTTAGGGGGCCATCAACCAGTTACATATCAACCTAACATTGTTTAACCCACATTTTACCATACTGGTGACAACAATAATCACTTGTTCTTGACAGCCTTGCTGACATCAAGAAGGAAGTTTTTGGACACTACATTTTTGCAGAGTTAGATTTACTTCTGCTTCATTGACTATGCAAAAGCCTTTGACTGTGTGAACCACAGCAAACTATGGCAAGTCCTTAAAGAAATGGGAGTGCCTGACCACGTTATCTATCTCCTGAGAAACCTATGTGTGGGACAGGAAGCAACAGTTAGAACTGGATATGGAAACACTGATTGGTTCAAAATTGGGAAAGGAGTATGACAAGGCAGTGTATTGTCCCCGATTATTTAACTTATATGCAGAATACATCAGGCGAAAGGCTGGACTGGAGGAATCCCAAGCCCGAATTAAGATTGCCGGAAGAAATATCAACAACCTCAGAGATGCAAATGATGCCACTCTGATGGCAGAAAGTGAGGAGGAATTAAAGAACCTTGTAGTGAGAGTGAAAGAGGAGAGTGCAAAAAACGATCTGAAACTCAACATCAAAAAAACTAAGGTCATGGCCACTGGTCCCATCACCTCCTGGCAAACAGAAGATATGGAGGTAGTGACAGATTTTACTTTCTTGGGCTCCATGATCACTACAGATAGTGACAGCAGCCCCGAAATTAAAAGACGCCTGCTTCTTGGGAGGAAAGCGATAACCTCAACAGCATCTTAAAAAGCAGAGACATCACCTCGCCAACAAAAGTCTCAATAGTCAAAGCTATGGTTATTCCTATAGTGATGTATGGAAGTGAGAGCTGGACCATAAAGAAAGCTGACCGCTGAAGAATTGATGCTTTTGAATTGTGGTGCTGGAGGAGAGTTCCCTGGACTGCAAGGAGGACAAACCTATCCATTCTAAAGGAAATCAACCCTGAGTGCTCACTGGAAGGACAGATTCTGAAGCTGAGGTTCCAATACTTTCGCCATCTCATGAGCAGAGAAGACTCCCTGGAAAAGACCCTGATGCTGGGAAAGTGTGAAGGCAGGAGAAGGGGACAACAGAGGATGAGATGGTTGGACAGTGTCATCGAAGCTACCAACATGAATTTGACCCAACTCCAGGAGGCAGTGAAAAACAGGAGGGCCTGGCCTGCTCTGGTCCATGGGGTCATGAAGAGTCTGATACGACTAAACAACAACAACAATCACATCCCTCCTCTCTGCATGTTTCCTAACCTGGTCTAGGAGGACATCAAACCACCAACATTTGCCCAATTCATTCTGGTGATGAAGATACTGTCTATGCGGCTGATTCTTAACCTGTGGTGTTCAGTCTGACCTAAAGATCTCTATCATATTTCATGCACATGTTATTTACATATAAAGCTATTATTTCTTCTTAATTTATATCCTTCATTTCTTATGTTATTGTCACCAGTCTCATCTCACCAGCTTTTAATAATGCCTATTAAACCATATTTTACCTTCAATGCTAAGCAGTTCACATTGCTTGTTTGCCATGCTCTGTACACTGGTATTGAAACATGGGTCATTATTTTCAACTGTTTGTTTATTCCTGTTTCCTCTGGTGGTTTCCTGTACTGTCATCTTAGTTTCCAATGCAACACTGCGATTTGTGTCCCTTTGTCCTCTGGAATACCATCTCCCTCCCTGGCAGGATTCAGTTTAAGGCCTTCTTAACCAGATTTGCAAGAGTCCTAGCAAACATTCTTCTCAACCCTTCAAGGTGCAACCTGACTCTTCACAGGAATCTTATAATGGAAGCACAGACCAGGGAACAAGAAACCAACTTTTTCTTGATGATACTATCTGTATAGCCAGTTATTCCCTTTCAGTATTCTTGTCTTTGTTCTAAAAACATGAGCTTCAACAGGAAAACAATGATGAAAACCCACCTTTACTCAAAAGTCCTTCCCTTCCTTACCCAGAGACTGCCAGGTACAGCCATGATAATGGCTGTGCCTGGCAGTCTCATTCCCCTCAATAAGGAGTTACCTAGTACCAATCATTCCATTCATAAAGCCCTCTATGGTCATCTCTGGCTGATGATATCAAAGGCCATTGAAAGGTCCAGCAGAAGTGGAATCCCCATCTAACTCCTGTTTAAAATACAGTAATCTACTAAGGCAGTCAAGGTCATGGCCATTTCAGAACTAGTCCTGAAGCCACACCGAAATGTTTAGTTTTCTCCAAGAATGCTCAGAGGTGAAATTTAAGCCAAAAGCTGGAAGACTGTGACACACCAATTATTTAAAACTAAAGCATCCATAGATATCTTCTTTAAAAAATTGAACTGCTGCTATTTTTAGGCAGGATGAAAAAGAACCATCAAATAACAGTTAAGAGTTTCCAATTCAAGTCAATTATTTCTCATTCAGCTGGCTTTATGAGCCAAGATGGCCAAGGCATGATGAATCTAGTTGGCCTGGTTGATTCACAAATTCTGTGCACATCCCACAGGTTGTACAAGCTGGAAAGGATCCCTAATTTACAACTAAAGCTATTGCAGAAAGTGTGTAATTCAACTGTTAATAGTGTGTTTGGAACATTGGAACAGATTGCAAGGAATTTTAACTCAAGAGTATTTCGCAGATTGGTCAAAGCTGCCATTTAGTACACATATCCTTCAACTCCCAGGGGCTTGATATAAAATAATGTGGATCACTCTGAAAAACTCTGCAGTTCAACATTGTGTAGATGTGTAGCCGCCCAACATTGTGTAGCTGCCCAGAGTGGTCGACCAGACCAGATGGGCGGGATATAAATCAAATACAGTAAATAAATAAATAGATGTTGTGGCAGACCAGTGTCATGCGTTGTAAGGCATCTATGTTCTATTAGTACTGAGTACAGTGGATCTTGGTTCTTGAATTCTAGTGAAACTATAGGTCCTTCTAGCTTGATGTTTGCCCTCTGTGAAGTATGAGAGAGCATAGCAGATATTAGACATCTACCAAAAAATAATAATAAAAACTGGCATGGAGAGGATGTGTATGCCATCTGGACAGTAATAACAGGTTTTGTGTTGTCATTTTCTAACCAGGTGAAGAAAATAAATCATTCAGGAAAGTATTTTATTTAAACATCTGGGAGAAATTACAAAGTATAGCTGTGAGTAATGCTTTTATTCAAATGCAGAATTTATAACCAGTAACATTACTAATGAACTTAGAAGTGGGCACATCCTATTAGCATTATTACATCGTAACTCCTACAGTTTTTAATGTGGAACAAAGTACGAACTTTTTTCAATAATTGCTTGTCGTGAAATGTTAACTGAAAAACAAGAAAAAAGCAGTCTGACTTCCATTTGAACATGTTGGAGACATGGCCTTTTATGCAGCTGATGATTTGATAATGAAAAATCACAAACAAACAGAAAATCAGTACAGTATCAGAAAAAATATTATTCTACTGGTTTTTCTGGAAGACATATTTAGCAGATTTAAAAAAACCTCATTGTAAGACTATAGCATTTTCTCATGTGTGTGGTTCCAATCCAAGCCCAGTAGCTATTTCATCCTCACATGAGTAAGTAACTCTGGATCATGTAACACTGAATATCTCTTTGTACTTTAAATACTTTGTGGCTAGTGTAACTTGAAGCCTGAATAACTGTGTAAGGGGAAAGAGCACTAAGTGATTTATACAAGCTAGCTGCCACAAGATGGAGCCATTCATCAAACACAATTTAACAGCTATACAGCAAGTAGAAAGTCAAACAGGAAATGCACAAAGAAAACAATGCAGTTTCTTCTCAAGAGGTAAGCTACTAATAATAAGGGAGTCTAGGTGGGAACAGAGTACCTTAATCACAAAGACAGGTATTAAAGGACACAATGGCCCCAAAATGGAGAGCAGATTTTTCATTGATGGTACGATTTCTTGCCTCCTTATTTTCCTGCAGTATATTTTACTGATAAAGAATTCTGTGTTGTTCAGAGAACAGTGCAGAAATCTTTAGGGAATGAATAGAAGGCATGGATTCCAGTGAGCTGCCACTAGAAATTAAGCCTGAGACTTGAGATGGGATATTTGTAGTCATCTCAAATATTGCCACCACAGGTGGCCAGGCCCTTGGGACCCTCCCCTCAGAACCAGCTGCTTGTGACACACTGCACACAGGCATGGTCGTCCTCATTGCACCAATCATGGAAGTAGCTGGCTGGTGCTCCTCCACCTCCCTGTTCTGCTGACCGCTCCAGCAAGGAGGCAGGATGACAAGTCTCCCCGCTCAGCTGCTCAGTAGTCAGCAGCGCAGGGAGGCAGGGAAGCCCCGCCAGGCTACTTCTGTGATTGGCACAACGCAGATGATGGCAACTGCACATGCCACTAGCAGTAAGTGGATTGGCTGGTTCTGAGGGGGAGGGTCCAAAGGGCCCGGCCACTTCTGGTGGCAATATTCATATCATAGAAAGATCCCTAAATGATGTGTGCCGTTATGAAGGAAAAAACACCTTGCCATTAACTAAGATTTTCTGGTGGCGATATTCATATCATAGAAAGATTCCTAAATGATGTGTGCCATTATGAAGGAAAAAAACACCTTGCCATTAACTAAGATTTTGTATTATCCTTAGAATATACCTGTGCGATCACAGGTGGTTGACAATACATAATGGCAATTACCGAAGCCATATCAGGTTTTCCTCCTTGGTACCAAAGGCCAAATATAAGATTATATCCTTAGGTAGCCATTTGATCAATGGCAATGATGAAAAGCCAAACCTAGGACTCATCAGGGCTTGTCCTTTGGCTGGGGAAACAGGATGCAAGGTTGGGATCGATGATAACATGCTCACATCAGTGCAACAGAAACACCAAGGAGTATGGACCTATAGTTCCACACCGGGCTACAAAACTCCGAGGTGGGAAATCACTTCACCAGATTTCTCATTATATTGATAGAGGAGCCTCGGTATCCTCCTCCAAAGTGATTCCAGTGGTTCATATAGTGAAATAACTGGTACAGCTTGAGCCGCTTATCAAACCCTGGTGCTTTGGGGATTTTACTGTGGTAGGCGGAATAAAACGAACTGCTAAACCCACCAAACATCCCAGCAATTGCTAACTCATATTCTGAATGACCATAGAAAGATGCAGGGTCAAAGATAACAGGCCCAGAGTCATCTTCAGCTACATTTCCTCCCCATAGATCTCCATGTAGAAGAGCAGGAATGATCTCCATGTCACCAAACAAACTGGGTATCTTTAGCTGGAAAAGAAAACCAGAGTTATCCCTGTTAATTGAAAGGGGGGGGGGGAATTCTAATTTTTAACTTTAAGCCGCAAGTAATACCAGGCTTAATAAATGAAAATTTAAAACTAAATTACATGCAATTTTTACTTCTTTACATGAACTTAAGATAGAATGGTTTGTTTTTCACCAGCCAAGAAGCACTGCTTTGTCAAGAGCTTTCTGCAGACATGATAAATGGTGTGCAAATTCAGTACTAATCCGATCAAAAACAGCACTTTTATAAATATGAATATGGCCTTTAAGACTTCTATGGAACATCATTACCTGGAGCTGTGCCCAAAGCTCTTTCGCCTCCCTGTCTCCTGAATTCTTCTCAATCATGTCCATCTGAGGCTGAATTCGCTGCCTTGCATAGAAAATCACCCAATCCTGTTGCCATTCATTTACCTACAAATAAACAGCCACAAATTCAGCAATCCAGAAATTTGTCAATGGCTCTTGAAGAAGGCAATCCCATGAAGAAAGTCCCTTGGTGAAACTGAGAAATAAGTGGCCTATCAAAACATTAATGAAGTCTTATGTGTATTCAAGCTTATCTGATCCCACTTATTTCTGGGATAATAGAATTGGTTTCAATGGTTTGGACACAAAATTGTCAAGACTATCTCAGACTTTACAAGGGGTAGTAGTACACTATTTACAGATAATTTCTTTTTTTCTTGTACTCAAATACAAAATAGAAAGTTGCAGGTCTTTCCTGCTGCTCTGCAGATCCAATAGGAATTTAAAACTGAACAGATTAGATTTACACAACCTGTAATGAATACACACAAACATGGACACCGTACATTGCTATTTTCCATTCAATATGATAAATTTCACAAGTCATGAAATCATGAGTAATAGATTCCAACTTCCTATGAACTGTAGCAGCCCTGAAATGGTAGTCCTGCATCACTTGCTAAGAATACTCCTTTGCACAGAATCTTGGTAGATTTGCATTGAATTTTGGCTCCCTAATCAGGTACTGCTAGCATCATCCCAATGCTCCATGGTAATTTATCAGTGCAGTGGTAATACTAGCAACAGCAGCAGGGTAAGGACTGGCTGTGCAAACCATAAGGTACACTTATATGCTAGCCCTAGGATTTTTCCACTGTGCATGAAATTGTAAAACACTTCCCAAACACACCTTATACGGTATTCTCGTTTCAAGCATTAAGAAAATCTACTGGTAGCATAATTTAAATATTCTTTCTTCTTATACTCCTATGGTCATTAGTGAAGGGATGTAATTCTGCAGAACCTACCTGTGGAAGATAACCACAGCAAGTGACTGTGTGGAACCCAAACTTTTCCACAAATTGGACGCCTGTCTGCTCTTCACTTTGCCCTTAAATTAAAAGAGAGAGAATGAAAATGAGACCATTCTTTCTTATTCTGAATAAGAATAGCAGACTATAAATAAAGCAAATTTAGTTATTATAAAATCACAGTTCTAATTACAACTGCTGACTGTTTCCACAAACACAAGAATAGTTGTACATCAGCGTGACACAGACTGCTTCATCAAACTTCAAAAAGCTACAAACTGCAGAGTGTTCAAATCAGCTAGCCATATTTTCAGTAATCTGTTGCAACTGAGTGTCTGGGCTTCCAGAGGTGTGACACTTCTGCCACTGGAAACAGAAAGATGAAATCAACAGAATCTTGATCTGGGCCAGGCAGCAACTTTTAAATCCCTAGGAGCACTTCTTCAAATAAAGTGTGGGAAGGGAAATGGTTGATATTCTATACCATATTTGCCGGCGTATAAGACGACTGGGCGTATAAGGTGACCCCCCCAACATTTCCACTCACAATATAGAGTTTGTTATATACTCGCCATATAAGACTACCCCCCTCTTCCGCACACCTTCCACACACCAAATAAAAGGTGCTATTCACTGTCACCATTGTACAGCCGCAGCGCCTCCGGCCCGCCCCTGCATCTCCCTGTGACCGCACTAGTGCACAAGCGCGCATGTGTGAGCTCTGCGTAGACAAGGGGCAGGCCGGAGCACTGCTGCTTCCCGCTGAGCAGAACAGGCCGATCACGTCGAAAAGGCTGGCACCTGTCTCGCTGCTGATGCTCGCCGCGGCCGCGCTGGATACCGTGCGATACTGGATGGTATGTAGAATGAGGTGGGCAGGCATTGGGAGGCTACTATGGGCAGCTATGTCTATCCCAACGGAAGTGCACCCAGTGTATAAGATGACCCAACCCACACTTGGAGGCATGTTTTTCAGGCAAAAAAGTAGTCTTATACACCAGCAAATAGTACTTTCCCTTTTTCCAGCACAGCAAAAAACAAGACAAGAAAGTCTTCCAACTTTTGTTCTCCTTCCACATCAGCCTCCCTAGTCTGGTGCCCTCCAGATGTTTTTTGATCAAAACTCCCAGCATTCAAGGCTATTGGCCAAAGTTTCTTGGGGGCACCAGGTTAAGAGAATGTTCTCTGTGTTATTGATCAGTAATACAGACAAAATTAACAGAACTTTTGAGAAGATATAAATTATTTACCCAGTTCTTCCCAAGTAATTTGTAACACACTCTTCTTGAACCTGGTGTTTCCCAGACATTTTGGATTTCAGTCCCATCAGTCTCAGGTAACATGGACAATGGTTGACATTAAAAACATCTGGAGGACACTAGGTTCAGGAAACCTGTTGAAGGATATCAGGGCCAGTATTAAAAGAGCTCTCCAGTTTCTATGATGCCCATATAACAAGAAAATGAGATATTCAACACTAATGAGCACTGCATTCTTTTGGTAAGGAACTTACCCTTTAGTTAAGAAAATCTCTTTTTGCAATGATAAGAGCAAAGAACAAGTTGTTGTCACCTGGATTATTTTTCTACAATCTTTCCATATAACAGAAATCTTCCATGGAATAGAAATATTCTAGGAGTTATAAAATTATATAACTTTAGAGCAGCGGAGTCAGAAGGATTAACTCCTCGGTATAACACCTACAGTTTTAAATTAAAGGGATTTAGCAAGGCACAGAAAGCTAGGCACTTTACCAATAGTGTTTCGATCTTTCTTCAACTTCTCCCCAAGTTTTTTATTATGAAGATGGAGATCAGCCAACTGGGTTCCAAGTTTTTCTGCATGTCTAGAAGTCAAAATAGGTTACTTTTAGAGCAATCCACCATCATCTGGCTGTTTCAGCAAGATTTTTTTAAATCTGAGGATTTCTACCTTGCTTTGCTGTGTTCCTTTTAAATTCTTAATTATTGTTTATTTTCACGGTAGTCAAAGGACAGTATAGAAACATTTTCATACGGAATTAATTGTTGGGTGATCAAACTGGCAATTCATTGTGCATACTGATGTTCTACAGAGCTTTTTCTCTCACGAAGAAAAATATATTGTCTTTTTTGAGTGGGGAGTCACCTTTTTTTTCTTCAGCTAGCAGGGGTGGTCTAAATTTGTTGTGATCAGTGTTACATTGCTTTTGTCCCATTTCTGCTAGTGTGATTGCCTGACTGGAAGCAAAGGGTCACTTGCAGGGTGTCAGTTTCTCTCAACTAAGCATCCCTTATCTCCAAACCAACTTTCTTTCTTTCTTTCTTTCTTTCTTGTTTCAGCACTGGGACAGGCTTTCACTAGAGTACGTAAGAGACCAATTTTAAAAAGAGAGAGACAGAGGATGGTGAGAATTGCCAATGAGCACTTGTTAGCATTTTGTTAGGGCAGCTCTGCCCTGCCCCTGCTGATTCCTACAAAGCTGGATGGCTACAGAGTTCACCCAAGGAAACCCAATTCCCACAGGTGCAAATCATAGCAGATCAACCCATATTTGTCCTGCTGTGTCAGCACACCCCAAATCATGGCAAGAAACCGAGCTTACCTATTCAAACCTCTCATATCCAAATGTTCCATCACAAATAGAGCACCACTCTCTGGATGATCGATAACTTTCATAGGTTTAGGAACTTTCACTGTATTTGTTTGCAGCAAAGCAGTTAAACTTGCCATTTCTCCATCAAACATTCTTCTGGCCTGTCAGATTAAACAAGAAAATGATCCTGAAAATACTTCAACTTTAGTCACTAACATGCCCTGCTAACATCTGCAAGATAAATTAAATGGCAACTTTCTTGTGAAAGTTTCAACAGGCCAAGAATGTTACACATATCTCAGCAAGAGAAGTATGTATATATAATGATCACCCAAAAGCTATTTCTTTACTCTCATTCACTGAGATGAGTCTTGTGTTGGCTGACGGTAGGGATGGTAATAAAGAAATGAAACAATTGAAACTGCAATTCTTTGAATCCTACCACAATATCAATTTACTCGAAGCAATATGTTCATTTCAGGGTAGCTATTGATAGAAATTGAAATATTTATCACAACACCTATAACAGCAAGAGTTATCAGCGATTTTTAAGTTGCCATCGTTATGTGCCATCAACTCACTTCTGACTTATGGACAACCAGTTACAAATGAGTGCCCTCGAAAAGGTCCTACTGTTCAGTTCTTGTTCTGGTTTCCTTGATTAAGTTAATCCTGCTCTTATTTGTTCTTCCACTTTTCCTATTGCCTTCAACTTTCCCAGCATTACTGTAATTTCCAATCAGTCTTCTATACAAAGTATGTTAGCATTCTTCCTTGAAAAGGGCTCTGGTTTCAATCTCCCCAGCTGTCTTCCAGTTCACAACCGAGTTAAGTCACAAAAATCTGTTCTTTATATAGACTTTGAATTTTTCAGAAATGCTATATTATATTTTGGCATCATGATCTTTTTCAGGTTATTCCGGTTATTTTTTTCCTATTAATTATTCATGATACGTGCCACAATCTGCTCCTGGTCTTTTTCCGGCAGAGAGAACACCGTGTTTTTTTTTCTTGTTCTCCTAATGATGTAGTCTATTTGATTTTTATACTGACCATCTGGAAGTGTCCATACTGTATTTACAGATGTCTGTTTAGTTATCTGAAAAATGTATTTGTAATAAACAGGTTTTTGGCTCCACAGAATTCTATGAGTTATTTTATTGCTTCACTTGTGACTTCTAGGACAATTTCTCCAATAAAGTTTCCTACTCTTGCATTTCAGTCTATGATTATTGGCATATATTGTGTGTGTGATCAATTTCCTCTTAGACACCTGATTAAAATCCTTCAATTTCTTCTTCAGCATTTGTAATCTGAGCACAGACTCGAATGGTGGTTATTTTCATAGGTTTTCCAAGAATTCTGATTGTTAATATTGGATTAGATTTTGCATTAGAACCCCTAACTTCTTATTTTACATCATGGCTCAGTATTAGGGTCACACTTTTTCTTCAAATTTTGCCAGTGTCAGTGTGAAATACCTTGTAATTGTCTAAAGGAAAATGTCCTATTCTAATATACTTCAATTCACTCACACCAAATACTTTAACATTTAAAAATTCCATTTTATGCTTTACTATGTTAAGTCTACCTTGATTCATACTTTTCACATTCCATGTTCCAATTATGTGTTGTACAGCAGCAGGCTTTCTTTTTACTGCACCTAGTAGCTGTGTACACTTGCCACTAGATGCCCTTTTGGTTTTAATCTAGTTGCTTCATTAGTGACAGTACTATTCATTCTTGTCCTTTGCTCTTCCCTAATAATTGACTGAACGCCTTCCTACCTGGGAGACTCACCTTCCAGCACTATCTTTGGTTTCATTTTTGTTTGTTTTATGAATAGGTCTTCAAAGTAATAAATATTCAAATGTGGTTTACCACAACCTTCTTCTGTATAATACTAACAAAATTTAGCCTGAGTGTCACTGCCGTTGTCTGTGAAAGACTGTCCACCACTGTCCCCTTCCAACATGGATACCGCCAAGTAGCTGCCTGTCAGGGATTTCTTCACCGCAATCACCATTGGGACTATCCATTCTCTTCTGTTGATGAACCATTATTCCTGAAGGGGATGGATGCATCTTAGTCTGGTATCTCAGCTTTGTCCATTTTGTCTTGGGTGACCATACTAGAAGTCCAGAACTTGTAACAGAATCTAGCATCCTAAGAATATTCCTGTCCGCTTCCCTGACACACTCAAACCTTCTTGCTACATTAAGGGGTCCTTCCAATGAGGCAATTTTTATAGCACTGTTAAAATCTGGTTTTTGCCACTGATGTAAAACCTCTGTGATACTGCTGTCCTGAAACCTGCTGTAAAGGATCTACTTTTCTATCTCACATAAGCAGAAGACTTCTGAACACATGGTTTCCTTTCTGGATCCTTGAATCAAGGAAGATCCATAGCAAAGCAAAAAGCAAAGTGGGCTGCTTATATACCGCCCGATAGCACTTCAAGCACTCTCTGGGCAGTTTACAAGTTAATTATGCGGGCTACACATTGCCCCCCCCCAGCGAGCGGGGTACTCATTTTACCCACCTCGGAAGGATAGAAGGCTGAGTCAACCTTGAGCCAGCTACCTGGGACTGAACCCCAGGTCGTGAGCACAGTTTTGCCTGAAGTACAGCAGTTTAACCACTGTGCCATAAAGCAAAATACAATATTTCTGTTAACACAGTGGGAATACATGTACAGTGCCAGTCACCCCTCTGGGTTAATGACAGAGATGAGCACCCCACATTTTCCCCACCAGTGTGCCAAAAGCGGTTGAAAGTAGGCTACTGTATGTTACTTCTTGGTCTTTGGCTGAGCAAGAATTTGAACTCAATAGTGCAAGAGCTACTCCACACGCAAGAGTAGAAGAATACAAATGCAGGTTTCAAAAAACAAAAACACTGAAAAACTGAGAGGAATGCTTGCACATGCCATAAAACTGTGGCCAATCAGTAACTCCCTCAACAGTTTCAAAACACATGTCCTTTTCCCTGTTATATTTTCAGCCCTTGAGCAGCTTAAAACAACAACAACAAATAGCCCTGTCTAACTACAGTAAGTCCTGTCTCACTGTTACTAGAATAGATAAAGAAAAGAAAGACAAAAGGCAAAATGTAAATTGCTCCTACAGTACTTGCTTTCAGAATGTGTCAGATAAACAAACAAGAAAGAATCTTAGGAATCAAAGAAGGGAGGAAACCTGGAAATAAAAGGCCAAGTGCATAATGCAGACACTGGCTTCTCTGTTGAGGCACACACAGCATTGTTTCCAGTGGCCTCTGCCTTGTCAGCACTGTATCAGGCCAAGCATGAAACAGTGTGCGTAACTGTCATTCAGCAAGCTGCTGATTCTGCTTATTATTACCACCTAGTATAACTGTCATTCAGCAAGCTGGCAGGACAGGTTTGCTGATTCTGCTTATTATTACCACCTAGTACTCCAATAATGTTTTCCCTATGTTTCGGGCAGACATTTTCTAAGAGAACAGGAATTCATAACGGCCTGTCACTTACACCCCCTGATCAAGAAAGCTTTCTGGGAGATCCCACATGTGTGTCAGCTGGCTGTGATTACCCTGCAGTGGAAACCAGGTACTCCGGGGATAACGACTAGGCATCCTAAGTAGATCACAAGGCCCTGGCTCAGTTTAAGCCCTAACAAGATGTCTTTGCAGGCGCACACAAGCGCAACACTAATATTTGAGCAGGGCAGCAGGGGGCAAAGTCAGGGGCAGCACAACGCTCATCATTTGCGAAACCAGAGCCACGGCATGTGGCTTTGCTTTCTTCTACTCGGCTCCCTAAACGCTTGGCATCTATGGGATGGACACTAATTCCCCCATCACTGCACCGCCATAAGAAGGGAAAGCGTCAGTCACCCGGAGGGTTTCTGCCTACAGCAGACAACCAAAGCCCCCCACACCGGAGATCCGGCCGTCACTCCCTCCCCAGCTGCCCCTTCTCTACTGCAAGCCCTTTACCCCCCCCCAACCTCCCATCCCATCCCGCAGTTCTTCCCTCCCCACCTCAGCGCGGGAATTGACTTTCACGTAGATGCGGCCGTGGTCGGTATGGAAGCTTTCCCCTTGGCTGATGCAGCCGCCTCCCGAGTGGCCCGCACGCCGCAGCACCGAAGTGCCCAGCTCCCGCCGCAGAATCTCCTCCATCCCCTCAGGAACTTCAGCAAAGGGTGCCCGGCGGCGGTGTTGCGCCCGCGCTCCCTTTCCCTTCCCCTTCCCCTGTGACGGGGCGGCGCGGAGTCACGTTCCCCCCGCCCCTGCGCGCCATCTTGGGCGGCCTGTGGGCGGCCTCAGCCCATTGAAACCGAACCCGAAAACGTGCCCGCCCCTGCTGGGAAGGCGGCGCTCTACGAAGGAGTGGCTGCCCACCTTCCCCGTGCCTTTTTGTTGAAGAACTTAGGCGCCTTCTCTTTGCTGGCCTGGGTTTTGGACTCTGGGCTGGGTTGGACTGGACTGCAGAATAAAAGGCACACTCTTTGGAGCGGCGCCCTTGTTCGGCGCCCTAATTTACTAGCGCTTCGTTTCTTTCTTTTGAGCGATAAGTAAGAAAATAGATGAAGAAAATAGACCCGAAGGCAAAGTCTTCCTGGCGAAAAGCATCGTTCCCCAGAAGAACCAGCAGTTCCTACCAAGCGTCGTATAGAACACAAAACAAGAGACCTCGTCGACCTGGCAGTGGAAAAAGGGGGGGGGGATGCATACAGCAAGAGGGAGGTGGGCGAGAAAATCGAAATAGACGCCCCTCTTTCGTAGAGTTTTTTTGGCGATTAAGGGAGAGAGAGAAGGGACTGCGAAAGCTGCTAGACTGATGTGATTTTACACGTTCCTCCCTATTTATTTATTTCTTCCCTGCTTCCCTGTCCTTGTTTGCTAATTAACTTGTCCTGCGTGTTCTTTTATGTTTGTATGTAGAAGTGACCATAGTGGTAGATACAGTTTGTTTGTTTGTTTGTTTAACTTATATGCCGCCCACTCTACCCAAAGGTCTCTGGGCAACTTACAACAATTAAAATACAATAAAAAGATAAAGCAAATTAAAATACAATCAAAATATATACTCTAAAAATTGCCATCAGGACCCACAGTTGCTATTATTTCAATTCAAAAACTTCTGCAACAGGAAGGTTTTGACCTGGCACCGAAATGTCATCAGCATCAGCAGGAGGGCGTTCCATAGTCTGGGGGCAGCTGCCGAAAAGGCCCTTTGTCTACAAGCAGTCCCTCTTACCTCCTTGAGGGACGGCTCTTTCAAAAGGGCCCCCTAGCTAGATCTTAACTGTCGGGTAGGTTCATATGGAAGGAGGCGGTCCTTCAGGTATCCAGGGCCCAAGCTGTTTAGGGTTTTATATGTCAAAACAAGCACTTTGAATTGGGCCCGGGCAGCAACTGGTAGCCAATGTAATTTCAACAGAATCGGCTTGATATGTCCCCTAGCGGCCCCACCACTCACCAGCCATGCAGCTCGATTCTGGACCTTCTTCAAAGGCAGCCCCATGTAGAGCGCATTCCAGTAATCTATACAAGATGTTGCCAGTGCATGTGTAACTCATGAGACAGCTGGTATAATTTCCACAACTGAAGGAAGGTGCCCCTGGCCACCGAGTCCATCTGGGCTTCCAGAGTTAGACTGGGGTCCAGGAGCACCCCCAGGTTGCGGACCCTGTTCCTTAGGGGGAGTGTAACCCCATTCAGGGCAGGGAAATGGCCCTCCAGCCTGTACGGCGAAGCACCCACTAACAGCACTTCTGTCTTGTCTGGATTGAGTTTCAATTTATTAACCCTTATCCAGTCGATTATCAGGTCCAGACACAAGTTCAGCTCAAAACTGCCTCACCTGGATTGGTGGGAAAAAAAGAGGTAGAGCTGAATGTCATCAGCATATTACTGATTCCTCAGCCCAAACCTCCTGATGACCTCTCCCAGTAGTCTCATGTAGATGTTAAAACAGCATGGGGGACAGTATCGAGCCCTGAGGAACTCCATAACATAAATGCCATGGGACAGAGCATCTGTCCCCCAGCACCACCCTCTGGACACAGTCAGCTAGGAAGGAGTGGAACCACTGTAAAGTGCAACTCCCAACCCAGCCAGCCTATCCAGAAGGACACCATGGTAGATGATGTTGAAAACCACTGAGAGTCCAGAAGTATCAACAGGGTCACACTCCCCCTGTCTCTCCTAGCAGAGGTCATCGTACAGGGTGACTAAGGCAGTCTCCGTACCAAAACCCAGACTGAAACCCAATTGAAATGGATCCAGAAAATCCGTTTCATCCAGCAGCGCCTGGAGTTGCCCGGCCACAACCTGCTCCAACACTTTGCCCAAATAAGGGAGGTTTGCCACTGGTCGGTAGTTAACCACCAGCCTTGTGCCCAGGTTAGGCTAATTTAAGGAGTGGCCGAATTACCACCTCTCTCAAAGAGGTGTTCACGGCCTCCTGGACCCAGGCAGATCTTCCAATTAGGCAAGATGGGCAAAGGTTGAGCAGAGTGATGGTAGAACGGACAGATCCATTAATATTTGACCTAAGCACGGAACACTGGACACATCCTCTGATTCTGCAGTAACAGTGGGAGTCCAACCCAATTTAAGGAGTGGCCGAATTACCACCTCTCTCAAAGAGGTGTTCACGGCCTCCTGGACCCAGGCAGATCTTCCAATTAGGCAAGATGGGCAAAGGTTGAGCAGAGTGATGGTAGAACGGACAGATCCATTAATATTTGACCTAAGCACGGAACACTGGACACATCCTCTGATTCTGCAGTAACAGTGGGAGTCCAACCCACTGTGAATCTGAACTATTTCCCCCTCAAAATGAATGGCAAACTCACTCCGGGACCTCCATCAGATTTCACGGTCAAATAAGATCCCGGACCACCCGAAACAGCTCTGCTGGACATTCTGAGGAAGCAATACGGCTGGGGAAATATTACCATTTTGCCAGCCGTATTACCACGGAATAGGCCCAATAATGGGCTCTAAATCGTGTTCGATCGGACTCCCAGCGGGACTTCCTCCACCTGCGCTCCAGCCGTCTCCCCCCTCCTGCAGTTCAGAAGTATACCAAGGAGCTGTCTGGGCTCTGCGTGCAGGGAGAGGGCACTTAGGCGCAATCATGTCAACTGCCAGTTACCAAGAAGTTGGGGGAGGGAAGTGCTGGGGAAGATTGGGTGGGCTTGGGTAAGTTTTAGCTGGATCCCTTAAGAAAAAGAGCAATAATTTTTTAAAATTAAAAAATAACTAGCATACCTAGATTTTTTACCAATGACTGTTGCAAAAAATTAACAGTTTGAATACCTGGTAGGCTGATTCCAATTACCCGCAAGGTGGGAGAAAAAAATCACCAATGACAAAAGGACTTTTAAAATTATTCTGCAGAATAAATGAGTACACATATGTTAATACCCAAACAATATGTCTTGGAGTTTACAGATGTGCACTAGCGTTTATATACCCTAGTAATCACATATCACTGACCTTATCTGCATTTGGCAGTATAGCTATCATCTTGTAACTTTTACCCTAGCTCAGTGGTTCTCAAACATGGTTCCCCATATGTTCTTGCACTGCAACTCCCAGAAATCCTGGCCAGCACAGTAAGTGGTGAAGGCTTCTGGGAATTGCAGTCTAAGAACATCTGGGAAGCCCAGTTGTGTTTAGGCTTCTCTCTCTTTGCCATCTCATCTATCACCTTGAGTCACCCATTCTTGTTCTTATTTCTTTTAACAACCCAAGTTTCTAACATGGCAAGCTAATACAAAATTATACTATTTATACTATGCATAAGCATGATTGAAAATATATTTCTTAACACAATCACTAACACTGATTTTAATTCCCCTTCACCCCAGCGGGATACATTATTAAAAACTGACTCATTGCCATAAGCTTTGTGGTCGGCAAGCCTAAGTGGATTTTTTTTTAATCATTACATGGTGGCCAGAAAACACAGGTAGCCAAATATGTTTAAAGTTATTTTAAATGCCAGTGTTTTAAAATCAAATATTAATGTCTCCGTTTTAATTTTAACATCAAAAGGAGCTAGTGTTTGTGAGCTAGCTTTGCAGTTATTAGCAAGAACATGGGAACGAAGAACAAGTTTGGACTGAACAAGTGGAATATGCAAAAAAAAGGCTATAGCAATGCTAGGAGGCATTTCCTCTCGCTCTCCCTCCCCTTCATCACTTTTGCACCTTCCTTGGACTCTTCCTTCTTTGGGGCCTCAGTCTGGAAACTGGCCTGACTTTTCTCCAAACTTGTCAGGCTTCTGCCATCCCCAGGTATGAGGAGGATTAGACTTACCCACCCAGGCTCTCAAATGGCACAGGTAGCAGGTATTGGGACTCCAGGGATGCTTAACTTTGAGGGATCACATCCCAAAAGCATTCTAATAAAAAGGTAAACCCTCATTTATTTCCTCAATGCAATGCTTTAAGACTGTCTGTGAATCAGCAGCTAAGTGATACAGCAGTAAAATAGACTGGAAACGTTTTTTAAAACAGTTCAGAATGCAGGACGCAATAGTCCGTTATGGCACAGTTGTCATTGGCATTCAAAAAGAGAGCCAAAACCAGCTCAGGAAAAATTTATGCTGACAGAGATGTTTATATATGGTGAATCATTAGAAATGAAATCGCTTCAACATCCAAATTAAAGTAAAGAACCCTCTGGCAGAAGAGTAAAACAAAACTCACTGCCACTCAAAAAAAATGTTATTCCCTGTCAAATTAATCTGCACTTCCATGTGCACTGTCTATTCACCATTTTTACATCAATTTAAAACCCACTAAACCCAATTTAAAGATAGGAATTTTTTTTACTAATGAAACTGTGCTGCAGACACACTTCGAGGTTCCCTTCCTCGGAGTTCTTCCCTGACCATTGATCATGCTCAGTCCTCACTGGGCAGTTTGAGTAGTTCCCAGTCCCATACACACACTTTTTTCTCCTGCAGATCTTGGCATGCCTCTAAGTCTGCTGAAATCCTCTCCTTGTGAATAGATGGTGCTATTTTGCCCCAAATTTGGAAACATCCCGTTTTTTCTCTCTTTCATGCTGGCTGATGATTTTGGGAGCTGTACCTCCTCCCTCCCCAAAGTAACTTTCCCATCTGATATGGCTACGTAAAAAAATAATACTCACAGCCTGAGCATCTGGAAAATTGTTCTATGTTCTATGCAAACATTTCTTTTCATGTTCAAGAATAAAAGACCATGAGACTATTCTCAACACTCTCCAAATGGGAGCCTGAAATATCCTTCATTATGCCACCTCCCATGGTTATCAGTGGATCTCTC